ATGTGAGAGGAGACTGTTAAAAGCACAGTCCTCTTCTCATGACTTGGTTGTCTCCTGACAGTTTTCTTGTGTAGTAATTGAACCCGTAATTTTAGATGATGTAATATATTTGAGACTTTGTCTGCCCTAAACCCCATGGCCGCAAATAGTAAGTGGACAAATAAATAATAATGGTTATAGCTGAGAGAGAGACTGCTTGTGAAAGTGGGATATTTAAATTACAGATCCAGGCATATGTGGATTGTGGACGACTGGGATGTTACCCTGAAAATTAGAACGTGAATCAATTTGCTCCTCCTCTCTGAACACTGAACAGGAGTGACATTGCTAATTTGCTTTGTATTCCTGTGTTTCATAGAATCATAGAATAGTCTGGGTCAGAAGGGGCCTTTAAAGGTCATCTAGTCCAACCCCCCTGCCATGAGCAGGGACATCTTCAACTAGATCAGGTTGCTCAGAGCCCCGTCCAGCCTGACCTTGGATGTTTCCGGGGAGGGGGCATCTACCACCTCTCTGGGCAACCTGTTCCAATGTCTCACCACCGTCACAGTAAAGAATATCTTCCTAATACCTAATTTAAATCTACCCTCCTTCAGCTTAAGGCTGTTACCCCTTGTCCTATCACTCCATGCCCTTGTAACCAGTCCCTCGCCATCTTTCCTATAGCCCCCCTTCAGGTACTGGAATGCTGCTGTAAGATCTCCCCGGAGCCTTCTCTTCTCCAGGCTGAACAACCCCAACTCTCTCACCCTGTCTTCATAGGAGAGGTGCCCTCTGAACATCAAAAGGGGATAGTGATGGTGTTCTTTGGGTTCCTTTGTGGCAGAGCTATCCTTTCCATATCCTGGAGGTAAAGTTAGTGACATTCACAAATTTCACAGTTGCTCTCTGTCTGTATTATTTGCTTCTGAACTGAAATGAACTGTGGTCACTGTGGTCCCTGAGGATCAGTGCAAAATTATTAACTGGAGAATTTTTTTAGTAGCAGCATATTTAGGTTTATAACTTGTACCAGAAATATTTGTGTCACAAACAAAAATGTCCCTTTACTGAATCGAGTGTACGGAGGCCAACATTTTATCACGGTGCACTGCAGGAGTGCCTGGTTTGGTAGGGGCTGCAAGCACCAGGTATTCCTGCTTGGCTCTGAAATGATGACCCTTGTCTGCACCCAGAGGTCCACCTTTTTTCCCACCTAGAAATTCTGTCCAGGTTCTAACTGAAAAACTGAAATGTCAGCCTTAAAATGAGAAGTGTCAGCCATATTTTTAAAAGATTTTTAGGTACTTGCAACCTCAAATAGCTGCCTGCTAAGATTTCTAAGGATATTTTTGTGCTTAATCCCTAATACTTTTAACCACTTGAGAATTTTTTTAAAGTCTGTATCTTTGAGAACCTTTTGAAGTTAAGTAAGGGTAAGTCTGAAGGGACAATGGAGTGTGAAATGGGACAAAATTCTAATTTGAAAACTTTGTTCTTAAGCCTTTTTTTGGTCCATATACCTGCCCTTGCACTTTAATTGATGTAATACGAGATAAGCGTGTATAGTGCAAAATACTCTGAGAATGTTTTGTTCAACTTCTGCCACAAGTGCTATATAGGAAGAAAAACCTAACAACCGCACCCCTGAAAAAGAAATAGTAAAGCCTTGAAAAAGTATATTTACAGTATTGGTTTTGAAGCCTTGCAGACAGCATCTCATGAAAGCTGCCTGAATATTTGCATCAAGTATTTCAATAGGTTTTCAGTTAGAATTTAACATGAAGTTATGCTGTTGATAAGTTGAAACATCTTTGAATTCCATATTTAGAGACAAAGCTTGAATTTAAATGGATCTTAAAGGAGCATCATGAGATTTTGCCTGACATGGAGTCCTCTAGGGTAAAGGGATATTGTTTTCTGTTCCTTCTTGCCTCCTAAATGATGCTGCAGAGGACACTGCCAGGCTGTTATGGCACTTGGGCTTTGTCTGCTGCCCCCATCATATTTACTAATAGAGATTTGTATTCATAATTTAGCTGATGATTCATTTGCCAGTACATAGCTGACTAGTTCTAGCTCATTTGGCAGTATGTGTGTTGGCATAGCAGTCACTGTGGAAGCAAAATGCATGTGTTTGTATTTGGATCTTGTGGCAGATGTGCAATATAAAGGAGCTACCATTTTGGCATGGGCGCTTTCCTGGCTCTGCCCACATTTTAAGCGTTCCCTAGTTATGATCTGTGATTGTGGCTCGTATTGATGTTTATCTGCCTTTTCAGAATGAAAATAGCACCGTTCTGTTTTCCTTTTTTCGTTCTTGTGATGTTGCAAAGATAGCGCAGCATGGTACAAACACTGTGGAAAGAGAACTTTATAATATACTTTTTCCCGACTGCCGTATCAGTCCTGAAAACAATTTGTAACCCGTCTGTCTCCATTTGGCAACTGAAAAGCAGGGGTTTGCAACCAAGGCTTTAGAACGTGCAGATGACTCGATCTCTGTGCAGAGACAAGTATGTTTAAATTATTCTACATGGGTAAGTATGTAGGGAACAAAAAAGGTAAAGAGGAAATGCTCCCTTTTTTTTTTTTTTGTTGGAACTTTGAGCAAAATAATGCATTCTGCAGGACTTAAGTCTTTCATGTACCTGTATGTTAAATATTAAGAGCTTGCCAAGATGTATGTATAGTTTTCCCTCAAAACAGGGTTTAACTACTCTTTCTTGGTAAGTTAATTTGCTGAATAAAATTCCTACTTCTAAAGAAGAAGCAGTTTCTCTTTATTTCTCATTTACAGGATAACTTTTTCCTGAGAAATTTCAGCTAGCCTCCTTCATTTCTGCATTTTTGTCAACATTAAAACTACAGCATCAAACAGTTATGAATATTAGGATGCTGTGTCTCAGTTTCAGCTAGTCTTCTCCCTTTGTGCATGCAGAGGAGAATAAAGACATGAGGAAGTCTGAGGACAGAAGGGCCTGGAAGGGAGGAGAAGCAGCAGTAACTTCCCTGCTTGTTTCCCTTTACCTTACACAAATGTGGCCATGCGAACACCATGCATTAAACAAAGACAGTAAAAATGGCTAAAATAATACTTTATAATGGGGATGTTGATCTGTCTTTGTCAGTTAATTTCTGGCTGTGGTTAGTTAAGTAAAAATGCTGCTCCAACCATGTTATCTTGGGTGCCTTATTATTAAATATAGGGAAAACATAGGAGGAAATAAAACTCTCTCGCTTCTTTACTTGTTGGAGCATTTATTTCCCCTTGTTCCATACATGTATTGCAAGAACACCAAGCATAACAAATAGTGTTTGTATTTAGTTCTGAATACAGTGAGGTCCATGATCACTGTTATCTCTGTGAGAGCAAGCTCCAGAGCCTGTCTGGGTGCCCAGAGAGTTCTCATTTCTGCGCATGTGATGGATGGGTTCGTCCTTCTAATGAAGCATGACTGTTGTTGGAGGTCTGGGTCACAGGAGGAGAGAGGCAGTCTGTCTTTGATGAGGGGCAGTTGTATGGAGATGTAGCATTTCATTTTTTTATTTAATGTAGAGGGCTAGTGCAGAGACACCACCTTGTTTTACAAGTTTGGGGGGTTTTGTTACAAAGAAGGTGGGAGCTGTATCCTTTACAAACTTCAACCATTTTAGATGTTTTGGCTTAGTTCCCAAGTGTAATGAGCCTGGAGATTGCAAATGCATGTATTTCCATGGCCAGATCCCTGATCAGATAGGGAAATCAAACCTCTGGCCATGCACAGATGGTGTTAGACTTGCCTGTCTGAGCATCCTTAGGAACTGAGGTCTCATGGGCTGCATGCTAACTAGCAGGCAGTGTCTGTAATCAAGGGGAACAGTATAGCCTAGGGAAACTATTCAGAGGAATTCCCCTCAATACAGATAGTAGGTGTGTATTTTAAGTACCTCTGCCTGTGTTGGGGCAGAATCTGAAGGTGGATCTTCTCGTCGACCAGGCAAATTCTACAATATGTGTTCCTTTTTCTTTTCTAGACTGCTTATAGACATTTGAGGTTGGTTGTGACAAGGGTAACAGCCCTTTTCATTCAGATCAAGAAGCAGCAAATTAAGAATAACAATTTTTCTTTAGTAGTTGGACTAGTGTACCAGGGCTGTGGAACTAAACACATTACCAGTTGCCTTACACATGTGGTTGTATTTAAGGTCTAAAAATGAGAATGTCTTCTCATGGTAGATTTATTTGATATTCTAATTGATTAGCCTAAAGACTATGTCTGAATATTGTACATGTGGCTGATGTCTGCTTGAGGAGAACATAAAACACTTTCTGTAAGCATGAAGAATGCTAATTATCTTTTTCCCCCTTGCTTCTACTCTTAGGCCTGTGGATGACAGATGCAAAGGGAGGGATGAACATAACTTTTTCTGGGCTCAGAAATTAAAACATGGAATGCATCTGCTGTGGTTCACTAACATTTCTGTGCATAGATTTGTTCTTTGAACAAACTTCTCTGAAAGGTGGCAGGAATCACCACCATTGTCAGTAAAGAATCAAAACTAGGAAAGAGCTGTGTGTTCACCAGAAAATTGAAGTTTGACTCATGCTTAGACTTTGAAAACCAGACTATATTGTATACCTATTCACTGAACACAACATTCAGGAGAAAAATTTGTAATGTAATCACAATTTTCGCTTTCTTGGTCTTTCTTGGTTCATTTGTTTAAGGCTTTGTTTAATTTAACAGTTTCCAACTGAACAGTTACAGATTTAAGTATCTAAGGTAATGTAAGTGTAGGGCTAATTACAAATGTGCTTCCTTTTTGATTTGAAAAGTTTGACTGTTGACCTGTCTCTTTTCAGCCCAATTCTTGTACTGTGTTCATCATCCTAGTATCTGAACAAACAGCACATAAACTAATTTAGAGGAGAGGAGGATTTGCATGTACCAATATTTAGTTTATTTGAGGGTAAGATTTCTTAAAAAAACGCTATTCTTAAAAGCAAATATTTTGTTGTATTTTTGTTTGTCTTGCAGGTTGATCCAGCTTTGAAAGAAAAATTAAAACAGAACACTGTAACACTGGAATCTGAATATGAGGTAAAATGAATTTGTTGCTTGGGGCTCATAACCTTGGCTACCCTTGATTACCCTGGCCACTGGTGGGTTGTATCTGTCCCTAACTAAAATTAGATCAGCCATCTGCTTTTGACTCACTGATGTCCAATAAAAACAAGGTTTTATGTAAAAAAAAAAGGTTTTTGAACATGCAGTGCTCTTTCTGAACACAGCTTTACTTTGATGTCCAGGTGCCAAATACAGTGTCACAAATAAATCCTGCTATTTCTGTGGTTAACCCAGTCTATAAATGTAGAGCTGGTGTTGTCCTTAGATGGAATGTGTATACATATATGTCAACACTTCTACTGCATGAGTTTTGATGATCTTTAGACCAAATTACAGAACAATGTGCTTGATGTGCTTTCTGTTATTTCTTGCTTCTTGAAACTTATGTGGATCTTTCAAACAACTGCCATTCCTTTTTCACTATTTCAGAAAATTTTATAGAGAAATATTTCACGCTTTCCTCAACAATGCGTTTTCTTCAAACATTACTGAGCTCCGAAATGGCTGTTTTGGCCAGTTTAATATCCAGAATTTTATAAATCTTCAGGCCTGCAAAAAGCCACGTTAGGAAAACTGGAAAAAGCCTCCCTATATCCAGAAACAAAGAATAAAGCTATTCAAGATAATTTTTAATATTTTAAAATTACTTGTATCAAATATCCAGCTAATGCTTTATCTCTCTCTATGGTCTTTATGCTAACTGCAGGTTTTCTTTTTCTTCCTATACCACATTCCTGTTACAAGCCTTTGAAGAGTTTGGTTGCACCCATAGCTCTCATACTTAGGTGTCCAAATGGCAGTACATGGTCTTGCTAATAAAACCTTTCTATTATATTACTCTTGTCATTTGTTTGAAATAAATATGAAACTTACCTTTTGTATTTTCACATGCCTAATTTCACAGAACATCTACCTACCTGCCGGGTTTGTGATAGTGTTTTACCATTATTTGGGCCATCCCCCTTTTACAAAGAACTGTGGTTTACGGTGCAGGGAATAAAAAGATTTGATCCCTGAGTACATATGGAAAGCTCCAGTGGAAACTCAAAACATACAAATCCATTAAGTTCTGATTGCCTCTGGGATTATTGTGTCTCTCACTTTCCATAGAATGTGCTGTAAAGCTGCTTTGATTTATTTATGTGGAAGAACCACAAGCAGTAAAAAGAACCACGTCTCTCTGCTTAACTCACTACCTAACCTCAAAATCAACTGATCTGTATTCAGATATGCCTTGCTTTTTCTCCAGAAGATAAGTAAATAGTTGAACTATAATATTTAAATGGCCATAATTGCATTAGCTTTATGGCTAAATCAATGGTAATAAAATACAACTGGCATAACGAAATGTTACAAGCCTACTCGGGTAATGAGGCTTCTTCCTGATGGACAGAAATGACAGAGGCAATCTTATTTTTTTCTTAATCTAAACTGCAGAGAGTTCCTAGGCCGAAATTCTTCCAAAGTAGTGTTTGGGTGTTATAGAGGGCAGACCGGTTCAACAAAACAAATGGATTTGCATTCCTACATAATGAAAATAGATTCAGATTATTGTTTTGAACTCTAATCTCAATATATACTTTACTATGGGCACCAACTTGCAAGCACTAGGCATATTCATTTCTTGCTTCACTGAAACTTGTGGAACTACCAGCAGTCATGCGCAGGCTCCACACTGAGTGTGTGACAGTTTTAGTCAACGTTACCTCCATATTCTTGTGGACAAAATCTAACTAATCACAGAGTTACGGCTGACATTTAGGAGAGGATTTTTCTGTGGACTCTGTGTGTTCCAGGCTAGAGAGTTTTGGATTTTTTTTTCCCCTTTATTTTTTTTAACTTGTCCAAAATACAGTTCTTAAGAACATATTCTAATTCTACATATAGGTCATGTTGGAGGATTACACTGGTGGCTGTTACTAAATTAGGTATGATAAGAGATCAAGGGCAGTTAAAAAAAAAAAGTTGCTGTTTTGATATGTAAAGCCTTATTTTACAATATTATTAGCATTATATCTGCAGCTGTTACTGAGGATACCAAGCCAGCTCTTTTGAAGTATGGTTGCCTGATGCATGCAAATGTCCATTAGCCTTCCCTACGACTTTTAAAAATATCTTACTGTCCTTACAGAAATGTACATATTGAATACATACTGAATTCTTTTAGAATGTGATAATTTCTACTATATGCATACATCTTTATGGGCACATTGCAAATGATAAAGACATTTCCAATATTTCAAACATGTTGCAATCTGCATTTTGTCTCCAATGTGGTGGTAGTGATGAGAAAAATTGTAATCACAGATTTAATCAATTTACTGTGAGGAAATTAACATAAAGACATTTTCTCACTTTCTAATTTACTAAATTATATCTTCTCAAACTATACAAAATTTACTTTATATCATATATGAGTATTTCTGGCCAGGATACTATTTTGAGGAAGAAAGAATTTGCATGTGTGATTTGTATTGCATTTCTTGTATCTCAGATCTGTTAATAATGCCATTTGTCTTGGGACATGCCAGAGGAGCAAGCTACCTTTGCATGTGTTCTCCATTGTTTATGCATTCCTCTCACACGGTTATGCGTCCTCTTATGGCCAATTAGTCCTTGCTGCTCCCCTTTGCCTGATAAATCATTGCTCTGTCCACTAGTGACACTGGTACTAATGTGAATGTAGTTCTGCTGCTGAGCTGGGCCTTGTAGAACACACTGTAAAAAATGTCAAGCATTTGACCTGTGACAGAAGCCTAGAGTATTTTATTTGAAGGCACAAAAATATTGTTTGAAAGAGGGGGATAAAAACCCGATTAATGTGATGACTGAAAAACATTCTCGTGGATGTTTAATAATCACAGTACATTCCTTTTCATTGGTTTAAATGCAATTGCAAAATAATATTCCTTATTCTGCACTTGATTTCTGTACTTCTGTGAAATTAATGGTCTAGTACACTAAAAAATCTGGCCTCAGTCAGTTACATCAGACCTCAAAATAAATAATTGTTGTTTAGAGTTTTTCAAGTAAGTAAGAACACCTTTAAGAATAATTTATTAACATTTTACAATGGAAAAATCAGTTAAGTTTGAATCAAATATATCCAGTGGGAACCAATGGCAATTGGAGGCAGAGGAAAAGAAATATCACAACAAATAAAAAATGTGAAGAATTGCTATGGAAACAGTAAACAAGAAGTATTAAAGTAGAGAAGATGGATAAAAGATGCTAAGGACATCAGACAGTTGTGTCATAAGTAAGATTACAAGGATATGGGTAAGAGGATGGTGTTGCAGCAAACTAAGAATAAAATAATGAGGGTGTAAAATCATGAGTAACCATGTTGGCAAAGTAGCAGCATTCACAAAATGTATTTCTTTTAGAGAAAGAAGTCCTTTGCATTCAAATCAGAGGAGACAAGGGATGTACTTCTAAAGCTCTTAATAACCAAGCAAGATGTTATTTCACATCTATTACGCTCTGATGGTTTATAGCCGAGTTCCAAGAAAATGCTTGGAAGACTTCAATGGCTACTGAAGATCTCAATCTGGGAATGATGGTTCTCTGGGAATCATCACTGGGCTGGCAGGTGATATTTTTGAGTGTTCTGTGAGATATGGGACTTATTAATGGCTGGACTTGATGATCCTAAAGGTCTTTTCCAACCAAAATGATTCCATGATGCTATGATCTGGGCAATATTGAGTACTTTTTTCAGTGATATGGAAGAAATTGTAAAATCATTGCTGATGTGCAAGTGACACGAAAGTATTGAAATAGTAAAGGTATGGCAAGGCAGGGACAGAGAGCTGTTTGTGTTGCTTGATAAGCTGGACCCATTAAATGAGCCATCTTTTAAAGTAGCCAAAGTTATTGTGTAAAAAACTGGCAATGCAGGCCAGAACAAACTGCATTATGGAAAGCAGCAACTCTGGAAAAGATTTAGGAGTCAGTGAATAAATAATTCAGATTGATCTACTGTGGTGCTGTGGCACAAAAAGCTAATTCAGTTTTTATGAATATAACCAGGAATGGTAGGTAGATGGTAGGAATAGGTGAATTTATTTCTGAGTGTGGCTGATGAGGCTGGTACTGAAATACTGGGTCTACTTCTGGTGTCCACATTTTGAACAGGGCTTTAAAAATGGGATAGGTTGCAGAACAGGCTGAATATATTAACTTAGGTCTTGAGAAAATGCCTGAAAAGAAACTTAAAGATTTAAATCTTTTTAAAGGTACCAAGAAGAATGTTAGTTATATATAAATACCTTCATAAGAAGAAAGTGCTAGCTATTGAAGATTTTTTTTTTATTACTGCAAAGATACTAAAATTAGAAGTAAGGTCTGTTATTAATAGATGGGAACATCATTTGAACACAACAGCAAGAAAAATGGGTTCTCTGACATTCAGAATATCAAAACTGTAAAACTTTAAATTCTTCCTTCAACTAGTTGCAAGCTATTGGACTCAGCATGGGATAAGTGAGGGAGTATGTAGGTCTGCAAATAGTCAGTCTAGGGAATGCTGCTTTCTTGACTTAAAATATATGAATATTGGGCAATTTTTGTTCCTCCATAATTTGATAAATCACAAAAGGTCAACATTAGCTCTGGTCAAAAGTTGTGTTGCTATTTGTCCTGAGAATTACAGCAAAAAAGCATTGTAATTGCAGTATTAAAATATTTATTCAAGGACAGTTCAAAAAGTAAAAGCAGGTGGCTTGGGAACATAACCTGTATATTTATTTACTGTCTTAAAAGAAGCATTCGAATAAGCTCTTCCAAAAAAGATTCAACCCACTTAATGGTCATTTGACATAAGTGCCAGCAGAATTAATGAAACTTGTTTTTTTCAGGAAAGAACAGTGCAGTAACACAGTAAGTCATAATATTAAATAGATGCATTGAAGTGTGTGGACATGAAGACTACTGCAGAAGGAAGGTAATTCCTGAATGCCAGTAGTTGAAAT